TCTTGGTAAAAATCTATGGAGTAGCATCATAGAGATTCTCAAAGCCTGAAAGTTGAACTTGAGCTGCTGACAACAGAAAAGAGTCTCTATGCATGCTAAGAGACACATACTAAACACACAATGTGCAACAGTAGCACAGAAAAGTACTAAATTGAGGCTCAGAAATAGTGCTTGGTTATTCAACTGAAGTGATTTGATTTCTATGTAGTAACTATGATTAAAGCTATTGTTACTGAAATTGCAGCAGGTTATTTCATACCAAAACTCTTTTCCTGTGTAATGCCATAACTAGACAGCACTGATGCAAATCAACCAAAAAAAATTTCCTCATCCATCAACCCCAGTCCAACAACCCCTTCTTGTTATGGTTCCACCTATTCTGGCTGGAAAGCTATCCCCTGGGGTCTGCTGGTTAACCAACTACTTCTGGATTTAGGAGGGTACTGGTAGAGAAAGGCAGCACAATACAGCAGCACAAGCCTACAGAGCATTACTTATATGCTTGATACTGGAAGTGACTGAAGCAAGCTGTGAGCAGAAGCTACTGCCTGCACCTAGAGGCCCAAAATCCCAGCCCTGTTTGTTAGAATTTTCTTGAGAAAAATGACATTTTTTTTTCTTGAGGAACACACACTGTCATAGTAAAATAAATGGAATCATAAAGGGAGGAAAACAGGTATCCTAGGAGATCAGTTGTACCACTCAGCACTTCCAGTTTGTACAAGCAACTTGCACACGAAGGAAAACTGGAAAGGGTCATGGGATGGCAATTGCTCTGAAGGCCAGAAGGACAACAGGACAACAAATAGGTTTGAGGTCTGCTATAGCATTTTACCTGTGTCTCTGCAGTCCTGCTTTGCCTTACTATAGTAACTCCACACAGAAAAAGTATTGTAAGGTCTGAGCTGTCCAGGAACCAGGTGTCTGCAATAAGGCTTTCTAGTACATAGTATCTTAGCAGCAATTTGTCACTACCAAATGCAAGCATTAAGAGCATCTGCTCTTGTCTCTAGGTGCTCATTTAAACATAAAATACTACAGAAGGTTAAGGGTTTTTGAAGAAATATGACATAAGTTTATAAATAACATCTCTGACAAAACAAAGTCACCGACTTACATTTTCATGTAGCGGTGAACATCAGCAGGGAGCGATGATCCATCAAACACAAAATCTTCCACCATGACATTTAAGGTTAGTCTTGACCTCCAGTGAGAGACTGGTTCATCCAGGGCATTGGGCTGCTTTTCTGCTTCAATTTGCTTAAAAAAAAACCAAAAACAAACATACTGCTAACCAACACAATTTTGAACAAGCTAATAATCTAACTTTAAGAATCCAGGGAGTCAGTAACTATATCATAAACCAGAAGCCTGCTAAGAAACAATTTATCTTAATTTTGACCAGACCAAGAGTCTTGCTCAAATACAACAGAATGGATTTTAAAGGCCCACCACAATCTGTTACTGCAAAACTTCAGTGTCCATTCACAGCCTTGTTCATCAAGAAGGAATATTCATCTAATTAACCTTCATACCTTAGGATTGTGGATACTAGTTAGAAGACATCACTTTGAAATCAGGACTATACAGTAATCAGATGTTACTTCAAAACAGTCAAAATGATGATCAACCAAACATTATCTGTTTTTCTTCATATCTTATGTGGCTATTTTACAACAGCAAAGCATATTATTTCAAATTAATTCAATTCACTACAGAAAGCAGCACCATGCTGTTCCAGAGCAATACAGTATTTCTACCAAAAGCAATGAATCCTTGAAGCAATTACTGTTAACTAGGATAGTGCTTAAATAACTAGCCAGCATTTTAAAGAGCTGCCTCTGCTCTGCTAGGTGGTCTGCCACTAGCAGGATAATTAAGAAGAGGATTTTGGTTTTTTTTTTTTGTTTTATCATCCTTAGTTTAATGATGCAAGTACAGCAGATACTAACACCAGAAATGTCTATAAAATAAATTCCTTATTTTGCAGATGCTCTTCCATAGATGGGACACACACCTACCTGTGTGGCTGATTCACCAGTGAGCAAATTAATCTCTTCTGGTTTGGGGATCATGTACGTGGTCAGAGGGCTTACTATATGCACCTGCTTACCATCATGCCAAGGCAAAATGCCAGCATGGTGAAGAAATATGAATGCATATAACGTGCCATTATTTCGGGTTTTCTTTGGTACAGACACATTCACTGTCCTAAAATACAAAATAAATATATTATGTGATGACAAAGCACATGCTGAAATATTTAGCTATTACTAGACACAATTACTTCTGGCTAGCCTGTTCCATGGCTGGATGGGGCAATTTTTTGTACTTATCACAATATATGCGTTTCCAAAGATTTACTATTAAATTAAGATAGTTTAACCTTTGTCCACTCCCTACTTTACTTCCCTAGATAACATAGGACTGCATTGTCAATTCTTTTGTTGCTTTCCTCTACTGATAGGTCACAGGGCCAAAATGATGACAGCACTTGTAAAAAACCAGCCTTCATGTGCTGAAGATGCATCACAGATGTATACACGATACAAAGTTTAAAAAGAAAATCACAAAGTTTTGCATTGCACTTTACATTAATAAAATATCTTCTCGGCTAAGGCATGCCAAGCAGAGAACTCTAAACTGGAGCCCCAAACCATGAAGTCACTCCCCTTGTAGTAGCCAAGAAATCATCCTACTTGCACCCTTGCATAATGCCTCCTCTATTCCTGTAGTCTTGCTCAGCTTATTCTGCTCTGAATACTTTCAATAGCTTAGCAGACCCTGTCAGTAAAACAATTCTTATAAGGTCTGTCAGAGGAGAGGTTCAATATGACCTAAACTCTAACCAACGAGCTCTTTAGTCATACAAAATGAAGAGAGTGAAGTAACCTTGGAGACTACGATAAGAGAGTCAAGAATTGGGCAATTATTTTAAACAAACAAAAAAACAAACCAAAAGTGAGACGGCAAATCTGAAGAATGAAACAAGCAGTTCCAGTCATTTTCATTGTTCAGAGGCATATGCAGAGTGCAGTGTTCTACTAAAAAATTTCTCGGAGGGCACACTCTTGGCACCTATACTGCTTCAGAAGATCCCCAAACCCTAGACTATCAGAAAATAAGGTTTTCCTATGTGATTTTTAGCAGAGAAATAGTTATGGAAGAGCATGTTGCTAAAATACATGAAAGGAGAACATGGTTTGATGTCGAAGTCCCGTTCCAGGTCTGAAGCCACAACAATTAAGAACAAAACAAAATGTGTAGCCCCTGTCCTACCTATGTGATTAGAGGCAAGTCTCAAGTACTCCCAGGTACATTTGTCTTTAGATTTTCTCAATGGAAAGTAAATTTTATTATTATGAGCAAGGCACACCTCTACAAAACATCTGCCTACATGGCTGAGAACAGCACGCTGATCCAAGCTAACCAATAGTGAAATCTACCTTGGCTTCATGCACACTTCCATCCATGTAACTCCTAGGTAGGATGCACACTTCAGAATTCAACAAAGAACTCTGATACCTTGGATACTACAAGTCCAGATCCTTACCTTTCAAATTTGGACTCAATATCAAAATCCTCCACATTCAGCACAAGATCTATATTACTCTCTGCACCAATGCTTGACCGGGTGGTAGTGTACACGCTTAACTGAAAGCAAAACACAGCACAGAGAAATTAAAGAGTATGGAAATAAATTCAGGCATCTCTACGTTTACAGTACAGGTCTGTCTTTCAGCTTCACTAATTCTCCCAGTTGCAGGAAGGTTTCACACACAGAGGGAAAGAATATGGTGTACTCAAAAAAAAGGAATTTTTTTCAGCTCCTTTTGGGGACAGAAACACAGCCAGCCACTAAACACATTTTAATGGGATGACCTGTTCTGGAAGTTGAAGGAAGTGGAGCCATTTCAGAGAACCAGAGATCCTGCCAATAAAGGAAAGGGTCTCTGTCAGGGCTGGAAAGGACCTCTGGGGATCACCCTGTCCAACACCCCTGGCAAGGCAGGGTGACCTAGATCAGGTAACACAGAAACACATTTAGATGGGTTTGGAATGTCCCCAGACAGGGAGAGCCCACCTTCTCCCCGGGCAGCCCATTCCAGTGCTCTGCAACCCTCAATACAATGAAGCTCTTCCTCACACTGAAGTGGGAGTTCTTGTGTTTCAGTTTGTGGCCATTACTCCTCATCCTGTCGCCAGGCACCACTTAGCAGCCTGGCACCATCCCCTTGGCACCCATCCTCTGACGTATTTATATGAATTAATGAAGACTTCTCTAGACTAAACAGGCCCAGCATTTCTTCCGCAACGCTGCTCTAACCAGTACGCGTGTGACAGCAGAGATACGAATTCAATAAAACCACAGGAAGCCAAGTCCTGCCCGCGCAGCAGCCAAGGGAGCTCTCCGCAAGGCCCAGCGCTGCCGAGAGGGCCCGGAAGGGAGCAGGGACCGGAGGGAAGCGGGGTCAGAGAACACCGACAGGGACAGAGGGCAGGGACCGCGGGCAGGGGCGGTGCCAAGGGCGGTGTGTCCAGGGCCTCGGGCCGTGCCCACCCCGCTCACCTGAAGCTTGGGCCTCCGAGCCAAGTAGGGCCACACGCATCCCCCGGCCGCGCCGTCCCCCGCCGCCGCCGGGCAGGGCCGCGTGTAGACGATGCCGTACATGACCCAGCAGGTGTGCGCCACGTACACGGCGAACACGCCCACCACCAGGCTGGTGAAGGAGCTGCGGCTCAGCATGGTGACACTGCCGATGGCGGCGGCCGCCCCCGCCCCCCGCCGCAGCCCCGCTCGGGATCCGCCGCCGCCGCCGCCGCCGCTCGCGCATCCCCCACGCGCCGCCCGCCCCGGCGGCCCGTCCGTCACTTCCGGCGGCCACGGGAGGCACCGCCCCCTCATCCCCTCCCGCCCCGCCCCGCCCGGCCGCCGGCACCGAGAGCCGCTAGGGGGCGCTGTGCGCCGGGCCCGCAGCGGGGAGCGCTCCGGGCTTGGAGCGGGGGAGCCGCGCTCGGGGCCGGAGCTGCCGGAGCGAGTCCGGAGAGGGGCGCTGGGGCTGGTGAAGGGTCAGGAGAGCAAATCCCATGTGGAGCAGCACCCAGAGGGTGTTCATCATGAGAAATGGGGTCTTGGGAGGGCTTTATCGCTCTCTACAGCTCCCTGAAAGGAGGCTGCGGACCGGTGAGGGTTGGCCTCTTCTCCCAGGTAACAGGATGAGGGGACAAAGTCTTAAACTGCATGTGACGGTGTTCGCAGGACTCTTAGGATGAGGGAAGAGACGAGGATCTGACTCTGTTTCAGAAGACTTATTATTTTATGATATGTATTATATTAAAACTATCCTAAAAGAATAGAAGGATTTCATCAGAAGGCTAGCTAAGAATAGAAAAAGAAGGAATGATGACAAAGGCTTGTGTCTCGGGCAGAGAGTCCGAGCCAGCTGACTGTGATTGGCCATTAATTAGAAACAACCACATGAGACCAATCACAGATGCACCTGTTGGATTCCACAGCAGCAGATAATCATTGTTTACATTTTGTTCCTGAGAACTCTCGGCTTCTCAGGAGAAAAAATCCTAAGGAAAGGATTTTTCATGAAATCCTGTGACAACTGCACATTAGGTTGTACTTCAGGAGGAGTTTCCTCACAGAAAGGGGGACTCGATGTTGGAATGGGCTGCCCAGCGAGATGGAGTTGAGTGATGGATCCCTGTGAAGTGTTTAAGGAAAGCCAGGACCTGGCGCTTTGTGCCGTGGTCTAGCTGATGCCATGGGTTGGATGATCTCAGAGGCCTGAATGGATTGTGTGTGACTCTATGGTAACTGATAAAAACGAGAGCAGGCTCCTGGTAGTAAAGTGATTTCAGCTTTTATTATAAAAAAAGAAAGGCCTAAAGCACGGGGGCCCACGGGTGGGGCAGCAATGCTCCCATCGAGGATGCTGCACCGCCAGCACTGGGTCTTCTGGAGCAGCCATGTAGCGATGTCCCAGATGGAGCAGCACAGATTCAGTGGGTCAGAAGCGCCTTTTTATCCTGTTTTTTGTCCCTTTGGATTGGTTTCTTCTTGGATCTTTCATTTGTGTGAAGGTTTAAGGCCCTTGATTGGCCCATTACAGTTCTCGTTTCACTTGCTGCAGTTTACTTAGGTGTATTATGGTACATTGAGTACCGTATTTCTTATAGTTACCCTTTTAACCTCTTTTACAATGTAAAAACCAAACTACATGCTTAACAATCTATCCACTATTTTACAACAGTTTCTAACCTTTTTTTAACAATAACCATCATTATTATCATTATCACCATCAGTCACACTCTGCTCTCCTAGGCTTGAGCTACCAAACATTATCCCTTAAGGGAGCTGGGAAGGCTCTTCCTAGCCCTGTACTTCGGTTGAAAAAGGAGCATTTCTCATGGTTCTTCCTTGTCTGCTTGTGTGTGGGTCAGCCAGAAGAAAGTGATGATGCAAGCATTTACCTCAAGTGCACTCAGCTAAGAGGCTTGGTCAGAAGAGGAACAAGCACGAGTTACAGCCAACTGCCCCAACAGCTCAGCTGCAAGGAGTTTCCTTGGAACACAGAAGGGAGAAAACACACACCTGGGTAGGTGAAGGGCATTCAGGCCTGTCCTGGTTTCAGCTGGGATAGAGTTAGTTTTCTTCCTAGCAGCTGGTACAGAGCTGTGTTTTGGGTTTAGCACGAGAATAATGTTGGTAGCACACTGATGATTTGGTTGTTGCTCAGCAGTGTTTACTCCAAGTCAAGGACTTTCAGCATTCCATGGTCTGCCAGTGAGGAGGTGCTGGGAGGGAGCACAGCTGGGACAGTTGACCCAATTTCCAAAGGGATATTCCATAGCACAGAATGTCATGCCCAGTATATAAACTGGGGGGGGGGTTCCTGAGAGGGGCTGATCACTGCTCAGGAACAGGGTCTGGCATCAGTCAGCACGTGATGAACAGCTGTATCATGCATCAGTTGTGTTTCTTGCATTGTATTCCTCTTTCTCTTTTACTTGTATCAGTTATAACAATAATAATAACAACAACAACTACTATTACTACTACTACTTATCCCTATAGTGGTATAGAATATAAGAAAATAAAGATAGTGTAGAAATTAATCTTACCCCTAAGGAGTTGCAGCTGGGTTAATTATCAAAGATTAGGAACAGGCCTGACTTTAACAGCCACAGCTGTAACCAATGAGAAGAAGATGCTATAAAAGAGTGGGTTGGTTGGTTGAGAAGGGAACTGGAGTCAGTTGGCTGCTTTGTGAAGAAGAGAGAGTCAGTGCTCTGAGGAGCTGCTCATGAGAAACACCAAGAAGGTATGAAACTTTTGTGATAAGTGGACAACAACGTATCCCAATCAACAGGTTCTCCCTTTTTCTGACTCTCCTCCCCATCCCACTGGGGGAGAAGAAAGGGCTGTATGGTACTCAGTTACTGGCTAGGGTTAATCTACAGCACTTCTTTTTAGTATCTGATATGGGGCCCAGCAATAAAGATAAATCTGGCTAGAATGCATTAGAACAAATACAAGTATTCATTATATTAATTTCATAGTTACTGGTCACAATGTTGATTTGTTTGCTCTCAGAGTTGGTGTGCTTTTTCTTAATGTTGCATTATGTGTTACCTTACTTGCAGGATTTCCCATTCCAAATAATCCCTCTTGTGCTGTTTATCACCCATGGAGACAGAGCCAAGGTTATAATTTTCCAGCTTTGGCTTATGATATGATGGAATGGCTGGCCATGGAACTAACCTGGTGTTTGTGCTCAGCACTGCTGTGAGCTCTGGACTTTGGGAGCCATCTGTGGACAACTATTAATAATTATGCCTTTTACCTTTTCACTTGGACAATCAATCCGTGGAGGAGACACATTTTGAAAACTTTCAATTGGTTGTTTGAACCAGTTCCTATTGCTAGGTCTCCTGCATGTGTTCCAGGTCTGGCCTAAAGTCAAACAGCTATTTAGGAATCCTACCTAAATCCCAGACACTTGCCCTGTGACTGGATGCTTCCCAAGCGGCAGGGTGTGGAGGTGTATGGGATTTGCATGGCCAAGCTTTGGTAGCTGGAGGGGGCTGCAGGGGTGGCTTCTGTGAGAAGCTGCCAGAAGCTTCCTCCATGTCCAGCAGAGCCACTCCCTGGTGGTCCCAAAGCTGGGCATGCTGCTGGTCAAGGCAGGGCCAAGTAGAAATGGTACCACCTCAATGATAACATATTTAAGAGAAATAACAAAAAAGAGGTTTTGGCCAGTTGTAATTGCGGCCAGAGGATAGTGGGGTGAGAACGTGTGAGAGGATCAGTCCTGCAGACACCAAGGTCAGCGGAGAAGGAAAGGGAAGAGGTGCTCCAGGCACCAGAGCCGAGATTCCTCTGCAGCCCGTGGTGAGGCAGCTGTGCCCTTGCAGCCCATGGAGATCTGCTTCCACAGGGAGGCAGATCTCCACCTGCAGCCCATGGAGAAGTCCAATGCTGGAGCAGATGGATGCCTGAGAGGAAGCTGTTACTCTAGGGGAGGCCCATGGAGGGAGGAGCCCATGTTGGAGCAGCCTGTCCTGGAACGACTGCACCCTGCACAAGAGTGACCCACATTGCAGCAGTTTTGGGATGATTGTTGCTCATGAGATGGATTAATGCTGGAGAAGTTAATGGAGAATTGTCTTCCATGGGAAGGACCCCATGGATGATAGAGCAAAGGAAGAGCTCCTCTCTCTGAGCAGCGGGACAATGTTGGGTGATGAACTGACCATTCCACCCATTCCTTGTTTCCCTGCACCACTGGAGGAGGAGGTAGAGCTGGGAGGGAGGGGTGGGGGAAAGGTGTTTTTAAAAAAAAACAAAAAATAAATAAATATTTATTTAAGCTCTTATTAAACTGCTTTGACTTTATTAGTGATAATTTTAATTAATATCTGTAATTCTGGCCTGTTTTGTCTGTGACAGTATTCCATGAGTGATCGCTCCCATTCTCGTCTCAACTCACGAACCTTATCTTACTGTCCAGTTGTGGAGGGGAGTGAGTGAAAGGCATTGGTGGGAGCCTTTCCAGGCCAACCCACTACAGTGGGACAGCATGGGCAGGTGCCCAGAACTTCCAGTGTATTCAACTTCACCCTTGAACAAGTGCAGATGGTGGAAAAACTAGTAAAACATGTGGAAAAAGTATGCTGGTGCCCTGGCTGCTCCAGAGAGACACAGATGATTGCAACATGCTGGGGCCTGGCCCAGGCCTGCTGGGTCCTCTTCAACCTTATTCATTACCCTCAAGGGAAGAAGAAGTCTCTGGATCTGATGACAAGAGAACAGGCCCTGCAGCTACTCTGATCCCAGTGACAGGCACAGCACCTGGCCCTGAGAACCAACCCATGCTGCTGTCAGCTGCTCCTGTGCAGGAGAAAACACAGATGCAAAAGTCACTTTGTTCAGTAAAGGGGAACAAAGTGAGGTCGCCACAAGAACGTGGGGAAGAGGCAGAACAAAGTGGGATCTTCCAACACTGGGATACACACTTAGCAAAGGCCACGTGGTTAATGAAGACCAGAGGATCTGCCACTTTGGCTGGCCCTACCCAGTCAAAACTCCTATGTACTTCCATGTGGAAGGTGATAAAGTTCCTGTAATGCATGTAAAAAATATGCTGGGGAAAGCACTCTGGGTTACTGCTGCCTTGGGCAAAGACAAACCCATTTGTGGGATGAATTCCATGCTCTGCACAATAAGCTGGAAGGGGGCATGTCCTGGGCAGCTGCCCAGAACTGTCCGAAGGGATATTCTTTACCACAGAACACCATAAACACCACTGTATAAACTGTGGGGCTGCTCACTGCCCAGTGAGGGGCTGGTAAGTCATTATGCTGTGCATAACTTGTTTCTTTGGGGTTTTATCCCTCTCTTTGTTGTCACCTTTTTTGTTATTATTTTATTTCAACTATTAAACTGTTCTCATCTCAATCCCCAGGTTTTTCCCTTTTTTTTTTCCCCAATTCTCTTCCCAAGGGGTGGGGCAGGAGTGAGCAAGTGGTACGTGGTACTTAGTTGCCAGCTGAGGTTAACCACAACTCCATCACTTGAAATTAGAGATAACATTAAGTAAAACATTAACAAGTCTTCCCTTGAGGTCTTCATATCATCCTGAATGTCTGTTATTTCTCTGGTGAGCTGCCCCAGTGGTTCACTTTTATTCTTGACACTGTTCATATTAATCGTTCAGCTTACACCCACTGGACCTCAGAGGATGCATTTTTCCACCCTCCATTATCAAATTTTTAGTTATATAGGTATCTGGAGTGTTGGATCACTTCTTGTCTGCTTCCTGAATAAAAAAATGTAGCCAGAGCTAATTCAGTCTAATTTAGACAGACTTACTCTCCCAGAATTCTGGAGTGCCTTTTCTGAATATGTTTTGATCTTTCAGTGTTTTTCTTTAAGCGCACAAAATAGAACTGGAGACAATATTGCTGTCACAGAGGGACATTGTTTTTTCTCCTTTTTTTTTTTTTCCTCCCCTCCCTCCCCCTTTGAACCCCTGCATTTCATCCTCCCAGTTGTCAGGTAAACAAACACTGTTTTCCTACACACACTGACACAGAGAACACCCATCAACAAAGCATGCCTAAACATATACAGACTCAGTCTTACTCACAATTATGGTTTGTATCCTTTCCCTTATTGTAAGCCCTGTGGTTAAAAAAAAGAAAATTGAAAAAAAAAATCCAGAGGAAACCAAGTATTTTTTGTTTCATTTTTTAATTTGGCTTCACGCTGAAAATTTAATTTACAAGCCATTCACGAGGAAAATGTCCAGTTGGGCAGAATGAGCCATGATTGTGTAACTGCACTCAACACTTGTAGTGTATCATTTAGGTTCCTTTCAGTAAATCATCACATGCCTTCTATAGCACAGTTTAAGCACCTATATCATATGCTCACTTCATCACACTCTAGTCCATTTTAACCTATCAGACAAGCAACAAGAGAAGAATGCTCAAATTGAGGTATTTCCTTTAAAAATTTACTGATCACTGGCATTCAGAGGTAATGTTAAATCATATAGTTTTAAACATTGAAAAAATGTACAAAAACCAAGTTCATTTTTAAAAAATATTATCCTTAGTCTTCCATGCATGTTAATAAAAAATATAAAAATCAAATTTATAACACTGAAGCTATACCTTTTGTTCTGCAAAAGTATTTCCACAATTGGAGCCACAAGGTATGGTCATCTTTAGTACAATACTTGTTTTTGCTCTTCATTTTATGTAGTCAGTTCAGTGCAAAGGTAATAGTCTATGTACACATATCATTGGAGCCACATGAAGGAAATTTACAGCAGAAAATATGCATTTAGATCATTATTATCCAGTAGCACTATATATTGTTACAGATTTACACTGCACATCCAAGGGCTCTTACAATAAAAACCTTTTTTCTTTAAACACACCAGCTCTGTTTGAGCAGCCTTGAAGTCAGCAAGGGAAGTTGTACCACTGATGGATCAACCATGTGATACCTCACAAGTGAGTCCCTACAAAACAACTTCCTGCTCTGTCAACACAGGTTTCCAGCTAAAAGCATCCTTTTCATGGCAGTGCCTAACTTGGATTCAGTAGAAGTACAAGAAAATTCCAAAATGTGATAATTTCAGTGTTAACTTTTTCGGTTGTGCATTTAAGGTTTCAAGTGTGTTCAAAATCATAGCAATCTTTTTTTTTTTCCTCCCAAAGTATAAAAATGATAGCCTCAATGCAAGTTCAACAACAGCGATCAAAATTTTTTTTTCTGAGTTATTTCTCAGCTTGCTGATTTCTCAATTTTATTTTTCCAAAAAAAGATGAATTAGTATCTGTCATCAAATTAGAAATGTCTCTCACACACCTGGACAGATGCTGGGGATTACAAAAAGGTTTAGAAAGTGGTCCCATTGAACAGATGTCAAATACTTTCAGCACAATGCTGCAACACTTAAGTAGTATAGTACATAATACAAGGTTAGCTGATGCTTACTCTTGGTCCTCTTCCAGGAAACAAATTCTATCACTTCTAAAGAAATTTACTTCTGACTTCCATTTCTAACATTGCTGATTTACATGGACTCTTAATACCCTTAGAGCAATATGAAAAAGCAATATAAACAAATCACCAAACACAAACAACTATAGAGACAAGCAGCTGCAATGAGTTTGCTTTTTGTCTAAGTATATACAGTTGCTAAGGAGACATGTTTAACTTAAAGGAATTCTAATTCACATATTTAAAAATACAATTTCATTTTTAGATGTTGACTTTAAAACTGCTTTTGTTGTCTGGAAAATACAGCACTGGCTAACCTAAATGTCCTTTTTGAAATATAAGAAATATTTTGCTCGAAGTTCATTATAAAAGAAAACATAGGACAAAAAATATATACTTAGGCCATAAAAGATCTTTCAAAGTTTATTTCTTTAGCATTTAAAGTACAAAATTGTCTTCATGCTGGATAGTGAATAAAAGACATGTATTTGGGTTTTTCCCATATACATTCATAGACTTAGAAACAACCTATTGTCAGATGAATTTCATTTCCAGTACCATGGTAGGATGAAAAGTGTCTGAGCATCAGCTTTCTTCGGTATCCATGAAGAGACTTTGTTTGCAATCACATTTATAGATCCTGCATGTGGAACATGGAAGTGAACAGGCTCACACTGAAAGTGATATAGATATATATATAGCGAGTCAGGAGTCAATCCAATTTAAGGTTTCACTGTAAACTTCTAATACTTCTAAATTTAACGTCTTGTAGCTCACAGGAACAAGGCCAATCTCATAAGCTCTTTCAGACCTGCTGTCACCTGGACCCACCTGCAATGGTTGAAGTGTATAAAAAGAAAAAGCAGTTCTGTACCTAATGGCAGGCACAAAATAGTTTAGTTTTGGGTAGCAATACCAGAACAGGACTCAAATATTCACCTGCTGCTGCTGGCTCAGGTAGAAAAGTCCATGAATGTCACTTCAGCTTAGGAGGCAGCAGGGTCTCCCTCTGGCTGCAACAAACCTACAAAGAACAGACAGCACAAGCAAGAACTAGGGATACAGTAAACTGAATTCACCAGCCCAAGAGGCAGAAAAGATCCTTCTTTACTGTGGGAAAAGGCCAGCTGCCATGCTGGGCATGGATGGGATTTTCTACTTGCTGGTTTGGAATCAGGAGTTCAGCCTGATTTTTTTTCAGCTGACTTTGGGTCAGAACTGGCACTCTTAAATAACACCCCATTGACAGTATAAAAATAGAGTATTACAGAAGTCATGACTTCTTTCCCTTGTTTCTGACATTTTTGGTCAAAATGAAAAAACTGAAATGTAACACCCTACCAGCAGATTATCATACAGCACCTTTTTTGAGATCCCCAAGCTATCTCAAGTGAGCTCTGATGTTCATATGGCTCTGTTCAACTTAGCTCAGAATACAGTGTGATAACTGTGATAATAAAAAAAATATCCCAAAGAGCTAAGTTATGTAACAGGAACAACTGAGGTACATACAATCAGTGCTAAGGTGATTCTACTGTTTCTGTTCCCAGACACCGATCATTTAAAAACTGCAAATACATCTCTACCCCAAAGTTGGTCTGCACAGGAGTATTCTGCTCTGCCACCCTGCTAAGGGCAAGTGGAATAAACAGCCACTGCCACCACATAACTAGTAAAAGGATTTTGCATAATGGACTTGCAAGACAGTCTAGGCAGTGTCAACTACTGTGCAGAAATGTGTCAGCATATCTCACAGAAACATACACCCTCTATTTTATAAG